TAAGCTGATGTAAAATGCGTCTGCACGCTCCGATAGTTTCTTAAAACAGTGCGGGGTGACGCTGACCTTTGTTGGTCATCTCATTAATTATGCGTGGCTAACCACTTGACCAATGGTAATTAACCTTGACCTGCCTAGTGATAGCTTAAGCCAATCAGCATCATCACTAATCTAATTATTACCATATTATCACGTGTAAGAAGAGTGTAGGAGACTGTTGAGCTATGCTCTTTGTTCTGTATCTATAAATATAACCTGCCAGCATTACGTATACCTAAATTTTGGTACACATGCTGGTATTAAGATAATATATGATATTTATCCACATATATCTCTAACACACCTTAATACTTCAAAATCAACAATGTTGCACATGACATATAAACAAATGGCTGTTTACAAACAAAGTTTATTACAAATAATAAACTACAAATTTTGATTTCATGAAAGAATGACAAATGTTTGACTGGTCGAAAATTTCCCAATATACTGTAATTAATGGAAACTTAAAAAATAAACCTGCAAATGACCATGATTCTTGCTGTAAACTTGTAAATTTACTTGGATTTGTGCTGTAAGTTAATAAGTTTTAGTCTAACTTACAGTATTGCTTATATTTTCATATTTTATACCCCACCACTCAATGGGGGTATATAGAGTAATCAAGTATCGGTGTGTCCTTGTTCAAGTCTATGTGTGCATCTGTGTATAGTTAAAGGTAGTGTACATGACATCTCATGGACCCATGAACACATTTAGTTCATTCGGTTTGAAAAATAAAATTTGTTTAAAATTTTATATTGTTTTGCAAAGAGTGTAAATGTCTCGACTCTAAACCTTTTAAGACAACTCACTAAGCACTAGTGGGCCGAAATCAGTAAAGTCAGCTGTCCAAAATTATAGAGACACTCTTATAGGCAGTCAGGGGGTAACATTCCGCCCCTTAGTGGGTTCATGTTTGCAACATAGTATGGTAATATTGAGTTCTACACCTTGATTAGATTTTGGTGGTCAAGGTCAAAGGTCACAGGCATGGGAGGAGGAAAATGGGGTGGGCGATAATTCGTTGGGAGTCTCCACTTACTTTGTTTAAATTGTTTGTGACAAATGTTAATGCACCCTTAACAAATGAAAATCAACGTAAAAATATGAAATGTGTGTGAAATTAGAATATACAGATCTACAATTAACACCCATTCCAGGCCATTTGTGGAATCGAGAGCTGCTCTCCATGGATTGGACATGTCGCAGGAAATAGGCTTCCAGAAGGATATCCAAGGAGAATACAAGTCTCGACCATCTATACACATGGACTGTCTACGGTACGTATCTATACACATGGACTGTCTACGGTACGTATCTATACACGTGGACTGTCTACGGTACGTATCTATACACATGGACTGTCTACGGTACGTATCTATACACGTGGACTGTCTACGGTACGTATCTATACACGTGGACTGTCTATGGTACGTATCTATACACACGGACTGTCTACGGTACGTATCTATACACGTGGACTGTCTACGGTACGTATCTATACACGTGGACTGTCTACGGTACGTATCTATACACGTGGACTGCTATACACATGGACTGTCTATGGTATGTATCTATTGTGAAAGCGGAAGTTTTCACGCATAGAAAGTTTCCTATTTTGACTTTTCAGCTTGTTCCTAGTGTTCCTATATTTACATTTGCCCTGTTATTAATGATGATCTTCAAAGGAAATATCGAGGTCATGATTTTATAAAGATAACTACTGTATACATAGCAGGATATTTCCGCAGGGATGATATTTTTTCGCAATTTTGCGGGCCAATGACGTAATCGCGATAATATGATATGCAGAATTATGTGACAAGCGTTAATATGAGTCGCGATATTAAATTTCATAACCGTAATGTTGTCATTAAATAGCATGCATGTGGTCATGACGATACATATACACCCAGAGTGAAGCAATAAGATATTTGGAAATCACACGTTTAATAGTTTTGATGTTGATTTGTTTAATACAATACACTTTCTTGTAAGTATGCTGTATGAAAGCCTATTCATTTGACACTTTAAAACACTGCAAAAATTGAGTTTCTTCCCAGTTCTAGATCGCGAAATTATAATCCGTTTAAATTAAATTTTCTAATTTTTGGTCAAGATCGCGAGAATTTAATACTGCGTAAATAACCAGTATTGAGAGAAGGCAGGGGACGACCAATTACTTGTAATACTTTGCCTCGTTGATGTTCACTAAATTTGCCCCTACACGAAAAATAACTTTACAGAATTTTTGTTTTGATTTGTAGCTGGGTAAAACGAGACAGTTACCTTCCTGTAGGTAGTCAAGGCCTAAAAGCTGTTGCCAAGGTAATGTCTAATATATATATATCATGAATAGGTCATAATTTATTTCTGCCTTCATGAAGGACAGGACATCCTCAATATCCAGGGGTTCCGCTCACTTGCGCTCTCTGCACCCCTGGAATATGTCATAGCGAAATTGAAGGCTCGGTGTGCGCCACCTTGTTGATGAGACAAGAAGACTAGTTCGATTCTTTGATATACATCAAAAGAATGTCGCGGTCGCATAACAGTAAAAATTTATTTACTTTGAAGTCGAGTGTCGCCCATTTGTAATCTTCAAAGGACAGGTATCAGCCTAACGATTGGTCAGGCTTTTTTACCTGATACCAATCAAACAGCTATCTTCGTGCCTTCAATTTTGCTATGACATATCCCAGGGGTGCAGAGAGCGTAACCCCTGTATATCGAGGATGTGGAAAGGAAAACTAAGTAAGTTTCTATGGCAGAAAATTTATCTCTATTTCTGTCAAAATACAAAGATTTAAGTTAAAAATAGGGCTGTACCAGAAAAAAACCATGGCGGAGTGGGGTTGCTATTTATTGCTAACCCATTCACTTGTAATTATTTTTTCTTGCAGATACTGTATTTCTATAAAAAAAATTGTAGCTACATTGGACTGGGTCGATTGTCAACAGCGAGATAACTCAATATTTATCATCAGATTAGGCATGAAAATTGCCTCTCCTTATTTCATAAATAACTTCCTTTTCCACAACTTCTTAGAAGTACTGGAACGTCAGTTTAGATTTCTGCTTTTTGATCCTTTCACCTCAACTGAGATACAACATATTTGAATAATTGATAGAATGAGAATTGATCTGAAGATTTGCATGCTTGCCATCTTTTTGAAATTTCCATGGGGGAGATTCTGCATGCTTAAAATCAAAACAAAATTATATGTGTGAATATACCCCCTAGACACAAAATAACCCTTTAAAACGACATTGTGAGTTGTTCTTTCAGATGAAATCATTAGATATTGTAATATAGGAACAGTTTAGCAAACTTACTAGTTGAAAATACTAAATTTAAGGGTCCAAAATCCGGAGTCTCCCTCCTAAATAGGGAACGTTGGCAAGTATGGACTTGGCTGGCTTTGATTTCATTTAACCTTTACAGGCCAAGCTGAGGTACAACCCAGTAGAAATGGATCCTGAGGATATGTGTCGTATGGCTAGTGAGGAACCACAGGTAAATTATTAATTTCTAGTAATTCTACCAGCCTGTATTATTATATTACAGGGCTGAAAATTAATTCTCAAAACCAGTAGTCATTTGAGCTAGTAGTTCTCACTTTTTCTAGTCTGTGTGTAAATTCCATCAAACAAATATTATTTAACATGAAAAGTAATATCAAATTTTGACTAGTCAATCGGGCTAGCAAATCGGGCTAGCAGTTTCAAGAACGACTAGTCCAGCCTGAGATTTCACTAGTCTCCGACTATTCTGTCTTTGCGTATTGCAGAGTTATCTTCTCTTGGGAACAGGTATTGATTGTTACGTCATTGGTTTGGGGGAGAAAATTACGTCGTTTTCTCAAAATTGATGACGTTACTCTCACAAACAAGTGACGTGACAATCAATCCCTGCTCCCAAGAGAAGATAACTCTGCAATACGCAACGACGGAATAAGGCTACCCTTATTGTGTAGCCCTGTACTTTTATATAGAATAAATGTATATATTATTCAACATGATACGTAATATCAAAGTTTTTAGAACCACTGGTTCAGTTGAAGATTTCACTAATCTCAGACTATCGTGCTGCCCTTATTTTCTTTACCTGGACTAGATGTTTGTTCAGAAAATTTAAACAAGCCCATTTCAATTTGATAATATGCTATGTAATTCAATGTAAAAAATTATTCGCAAGAAAATTAGAAGATAGAATGTCAAGGAGGGAAATTATAACATTAATGCATTCTAATCAGATCCTTGCAGTTTTCTGTGTTTGAAATTGTTTAAGAAGTTGCTGTGATTCTAAGAAATATTTGTCGGAAAGAAATGGTTGGAAACAAATCGGTAGTGATCCAGAAAGTGCAACTTCAGCACTTAAAAAACATTAAAAAAATAAAATTAAAAAAAAGTCGTGGTGGTGAAGTAGTTAATGCGTCTGACATTCTGCTACCACTAGCCCTCCACCAATGGGTCGCGAGTTTGAGGCCTATGTGGGGCAGTCACCAGGTACTGGCCATAGGTCGGTGGTTTTTCTCCGGGAACTCCGGCTTTCCTCCACCACCAAAACCTGGCATGTCCTTATATGACCATAGCTGTTGATTAGACGTAACACACAAACAAACAAAACAAAATCATGGTAGGGACACGTATCATGACTAGACAATGTCTTTTTAATACTTTAGTGCAACTTCTACTTTGGCTTTAGATGCTGACGTACAATAAGTATGTAATTGATCGTTGTAGGTGCTCTCTAACTACTCCGTGTCCGACGCTGTAGCTACCTACTACCTGTACATGAAGTATGTCCACCCGTTCATATTTGCCCTGTGTACGATCATCCCTATGGAGCCAGACGAGGTAAGTATTTAACCCATGCACCCCTAAAGTCACATTTGAACCTTACCATATCAAAGACTGGGCAAGTCCAGTTTAGATAGGTAGGGGTGAATGAGTCAGTGTTATTTAGGGATCAAATTTGAGCTGAAATATATCAAGTACCTTTATTTTGAAATTCTTAACTAGGTAGCTAAATAAATGAAGCTTCCAAACCTAGAAGCAAAGATACAAAAATACAAGGTATCTGCATCATGTTTATCCTGATTTTTTTTTTTTTTTTTAACTAAGCTAGAATAATAGAAAATACTGTAAAGGTTCTATGTCCATTGGGTTCTAATTTTCGTGGTAACAGTATTACTACAGAAATAAATCCCTCCAATAAGATAGCAAATTAATCCATCCTTACCATAACACAATGTGCCATAGCTACTAGACCTGAAATCTGCGGGGAAAAAATATATAGATCCCAAGAAATTGAGGAAATTTTAGTTTGGCAAATCCCTGAAAATAAGAGACTGTCAAAAATAAGAAAAGGAAAGACTTGCTGTAGTTTTAGAGGTTTTCGATGGCTAGATGCATATGGGTTTAATAAAATTATAAAATGTTTGGTTCAGTACAATCTTGAGTTGACTGGCTATGAAGTAGTGATGGGCTGATGATCGGTTTGCCTTGCCGATTCTGATTATTGATTAAAAATTCTATTATCGATATAATCGGTTCTTCATTAAAATCAAAGTGTTAAAAGTTTCAATGTTAAAAAGGTATTTGAGAGTCATATATTCCTTTGTTTTTTACTCTATGATTGATAAAACTGCATGAAAATTGCTTGAAATCCATTCATTATAAAAGAACAAAACCTAATGTATAGTTAACAACTCTTGTCTATTGATTTTATGGTAGTGTTCTCACTTTATTTGGGTATTCAGGCTCTTGAAATTATGAACTGATTATGCAATTGATCGTCGATCAGTTTTCTACTTGGTTAAGGTGTCCGACATTCTGCTACCACTAGCCCTCCACCACTGGGTCGCAGGTTTGAGACCTACGTGGGGAAGTCGCCAGGTTCTGGCCGTCGGTAGATGGTTTTTCTCCGGGTACTCCGGCTTTCCTCCACCACAAAAACCTGGCACGGCCTTAAATAACCATAGCTGTTGATAGGACGTAAAACAAACAGACTTCCAATTACAAATCAATCATCGATTATGATTTTAAACCGATTAAGGTTTTAATCAATACACTTATTTCTCTCCAACACCAGGTGCTAAGGAAGGGATCCGGAACGCTGTGTGAGGCCCTTCTCATGGTCCAGGCCTATCATGCCAACATCGTATTCCCCAATAAACAGATAGCTGTATTCAACAAGCTCACGGAGGACGGACATGTACTGGACTCTGAGACATATGTAGGAGGTCACGTAGAGGCACTGGAGTCCGGAGTGTTCAGAGCCGACCTTCCCTGCAGGTTTAGAATGGTACGGTTTATATATTTATCATGATAAGTTATTTACAGTTGAAGAGTTGATAATGGATTCAAATATCTTACATGAATAATTTCAGACGATTTCATTTAACAACAATTTACACCTCCAATTGTTCATTTGATGGGTTCAAATCCTTGCCGTTACCATAGTTACCCTAACTGATTCACCCTGAAATTTCATAATGAACTATTCCAACCTTTGAATTGGAAGAGTTCAAATATGTCTTCAGGGGTGAATGAGTTAAAAAAAAAATGTTGACGTAGGAGTTATCAGTAGCTTTGCTTCATTAGACATCTTTTCAGTTTAAAGTAATTATTTTATTTACAATAAAACTTTCACATAAAATGTGATGTCATGATGTGTGACACAGATATTATGCAAATTTGTTATATGAAATTATCAGAATAAAAAAAAACCTGGTCTGGGATTTATGAAATCTATCGGCAACTATGATATAAATATACATTCAAACTTCCATCAATCAAACTTCGAATATTCAAATTTATATCAAAGTCCGGATTTTTTTCCGTTATAAACTCCACTGATATTCCATTTATATATCAAACTTGGATTAGTTGAATTTCTCACTGTTTGGAACTACAATCAAGGTCCCATTGGTGATATGTAATCATTTGTCCAGGTGCCGGAAGCGTTCCAAAACCTCATAGATAAGGTGCACAAGACCATGAAGCATGCTATCGAAGAGGAGGAAAAAATTCCCATGGATACAGTGACGAACTTAGACGAGGTCTGCACGGACATCATTGAACGTCTGGCCATGCTGCGGGACTGTCCGAACCGCCTGGAAAACCCCATCATTTATCATCTGGATGTGGCGGCCATGTACCCAAACATCATTCTCACCAACAGACTACAGGTAATGGTTGGAAGTCACCTGGCAGGGAGTCATCTAGGTCCTAGTTACAGCTGAATGTCCTCCGTTTTGAAACCAGGCTCTGTCCTGGTGCTCTTAATGTATGGGTCATTTAATACTGAAATAAATGTTTGCTGAATTTTAACTTTCATCATTTCGTCATATGTATTGTATGTGAATTTCACGTGCTGTATTTGTACGCAGGGTATTTATATATATATATATTTGCACATGCGGTAAATTCAAAAATTGAATGTCACAGTTTTAGACCTATCACCTGATCAAGAACTTTATGAATATTCATAATGCAGAACACACTTTAACCCTTTCACCCCTATGTAACTTTAGTAGACTCTACCATGCATTGATCTGGATGAGTCCATTATGGTCTACAGTGGTGAAAGGGTTAAAAGTATAAAATAAATGTCATCCTTGTTCTATATCTATTGTCGCCATTGGTAAAGAAGGAAAGAGACGTCCAACACTCCTCTGTAGAAAATGGGGTAGTGTACTCGGGAGGATCCACAGGGGATCCCTAGATACTTACTATAGGAACATGAAGGGAAATAAAAGGATTCTCAACTCCACAAGAACAGCTTTGGTGTTTACTGAATATCTGTATGTTATTGAGAATCCATTTATTTCCTGTTATTGTCTCCATTGTGATGTCAAAATACAGGTCTTTCATGCCATTTTATGACGTCATTATATAGGTCTTTAATGCCATTTTATGACGTCAGAATAGGTCATATGATTGAACCATATGATAACCATGTAATCAATAGTAGTTTGCTGGGCGGATGTGGAATTAGCTAATGAAGGACCATCCTCGATATCCAGGGGTTATGCTCACTTTCGCTCTCTACATCCCTGGAATATGTGATAGCAAAATTGTAGGCACGAAGACAGCTGTTTGATTGGTCTGGGGTAAAAATAAATGACCAATCGCAAGGCTGATACCTGTCCTTAAAAGATTACAAAGAAGAGACGCCCGACTTCAAAGCCTGTCAATTTTTACCATAACGTGACCGCGAGATTCTTTTGATGTACATCAAAGGATCAAACTAGTCTTCTTGTCTCATCAACAAGGTGGCGCTCACTGAGCCTTCAATTTTGCTGACATATTCCAGGGGTGTAGAGAGCGAAAGTGAGCGTAAACCCTGGATTTCGAGGATGGTGAAGGACAAAATACAGTCAACGCACACATATTGTAGCAGTAGTCTTATTTAACACTTTAAATATTCCGCTAAACTATGATTGTGTCAATTTGTGTTTTCTATTGAATATTTTCATGAATATTCTAAATATTCCGCTAAACTATGATTGTGTCAATTTGTGTTTTCTATTGAATATTTTCATGAATATTCTAAATTGTTTAAATTTTAGAAATCGTAAAAATTTGATTGCGCTTAAATATGTATGTTTACAGAACATTTCACAAGATAAGGGATTTATGGGTTGAATCGAAACATTTTAGCAACTAGGAAAGTTTGCAAGTGATGGAAAATTTTACTTTCAATACAAGAAACTCATTTACGGTATATATTTCACAAGATGGCACAGGGGGACTTTGATTCTGTCGTGACAAGATGGCATAGGGGGACTTTGATTCTGTTGTGACAAGATGGCACAGGGGGACTTTGATTCTGTTGTGACAAGATGGCACAGGGGGACTTTGATTCTGGCGTGGCAAGATGGCACAGGGGGACTTTGATTCTGTCGTGACAAGATGGCACAGGTCCCTTTGATTCTGTTGAGTCAAGATGGCACAGGGGGACTTTGATTCTGTCGTGGCAAGATGTGGGTGTAGAGTACATTTGTGATAATGAGATCAAAACCCAACACGAATATGTAACATGTAGTAAACCAATCAGTTCATCAAAATTCAGGAATTTGTCTCTTCTCCAGCCTCCAGCAATTGTAGACGAGGCAACGTGTGCTGCGTGTGACTTTAACAAGCCCGGTGCTGTGTGTCAGCGTCACATGACATGGATGTGGAGAGGAGAAACAAGTAAGTAGAGGGTACTCGTTGTGGTATAAACGTGGAATATGTATTTCTCTCATTTCTAAGATAGAGCTGTCCAAGGTAAGAAAGAGTTGTAACAAATTTCTATATTACCCTCCTTTTCACATGAGGTGATGCTACAATTGCTCAACAATGATGTGATGACACAAATTGGAAAAGTCAGTGCCGCAATGTGGAAGAGGAGACATGATGAAAATACTTTTACAATATATTTACCATACAAGCAAGAAAGATAAGATTATTTTTCTGTGCAAACAATGTTTGCAAATATGTGGTATGCTTAATCTCGCTGACAGATTCATTTCCATCAAAAAGGCTCTGGGGAAAAGTTGATATATTTCAAAATGGTAGCCAGTCCAAACACACTTTCATGGTTTCTGAGCTTATTCTGGCAGTTGGAATGAGAGAAAAAAACTCTTTCATGCCCAGGGATAAAGGATAGGGAAATTTTGCCAAATTGAAAACCCCTTGGGTGGAATTTCCCTATCCTACACCCCTGGGTCTACATTTCTACTTATATGCCCCACAAACACTGTAGGTTTCCTGACTCCTGATTCATTGGATAAACCTGCTAGGAGTTGGTAAACGTTTTTGGTTACTCACTAGTGAGTAACACCCTGGACGTGATTTCACTGGTCACAATACTTTGCAACGTCATCTTTAACTGTGACCTCACTGTTCATGGCTATTGCTTCCCCACTCAGAGATGGTAATAATGTATTCCCAAGAGAAATGTGGTTGTCTAGATACAATGTATAAACGTTGTGGGAGAAAAAGGTCCCAAAACTTGTGATGGTTGATTATCATGTTTATCTAACTTTCGTTAGTGGAAAAATGCAAAGAGGCGGAGGAGTGCAACGTCCTATAGGTGCTGGTTGGTAGATGTCTCGGTGGAGGAATCTCAGGTGGATACCGGAGTATTCTAATAGAGCTCCATAGACGATAGGTAATAACGAGTAGGTAAGGGATGGAGACCGGAATCCCTGGTGTTGATGCTCCATCTTTTACCTACTTGTTACTAACACTCATTAGTTAATTTTCAAACTGTAAAAGACATTCGGTAAACTTTTGTGTCATTATACAATGTGAAAATTAACTAATGCAAGCTAGATAATGATGTTAACTAGCCATCACTTGTAGGGGAAGCTCCATTGTACCAACTTTGTATTCCAGTCATACCTTTTTCCCTGTGGTAGTTTTGTCTGGAGTTTGCGTGCTTTGTTAAACAGAGTCTATTAACATCTTCCATAGGAGAAGCCTATGAAACATACAAAACCGGCCAAGTGCGTTCCGTACCTCCTGTGATGTTTGGAAAGTGTTTCACTGATGAATCTCTGTAGATGGTGATACAAAAAGGTTTCCGCTGATAATGCAATTCCTCACCCTCGATATCCAGGGGTTTCGCTCAGTTTCGCTCTCTGCACCCCTGGAATATGTCATAGCAAAATTAAAGGCTCAGTGTGTGCCACCTTGTTGATGAAACAAGAGACTAGTTTGATCCTTTGATGTACATCAAAAGAATCTCGCTGTCATGTAACGGTAAAAAATGACAGGCTTTGAAGTCGAGTGTCGCTCCTTTATAATCTTCAAAGGACAAGTATCAGCATAGCGATTGGTGAGTTTGTATGCCCGCCCCATCCATGAGCGGGGGCATTTATGTCTTACAGACATTTTCTAGTTTTTACCTGAGACCAATCAAACAGCTATCTTTGTGCCTTCAATTTTGCTATGACATATTCCAGGGGTGCAAAGAGCGAAAGTGAGCCAAACCTCTGGATATTGAGGATAGCAATTCCTGTATACAGAGATTAAAGGAATTTGCATTCCAACAATAAAGAAATCCTGATAACATACACACTCTTCACTAGACTATGTATGTTTTCATAACTGATGATAAACCAAAACAGAGTATAGACATTTCTATGTTTTAAATTATGTGAATAAGAAAATTAAAGAATGGAATCTGTCTGAGAAGCCATCGCCTGGAAGTTTATTTTGTGTGGGGAAACATCAGTGAAAGAGTTAAGCTTGAATGCATTGAAGCAAATGTTAAATGAAAACATTACTTCCTTTCTCTCTCCTTTTTATCACATAATGTACTGTGTTATCCAGTGAATATACCGATGTCGTATGTTTTTGCGTATTAACCCATGTAATATGACCTATCAGCCCTGTGATTGGTTGTCAGTTTCAATTGTGACGTCACGCCAAGGACAAGAACATGACGTCACAGGCCTACGCACTGTAGTCAAAATGGCGGCTTTTTACATTTCAAGATTGTATGAAAATTATCGTTTAACACAAATAAATGCCACAAATCATGATTATGTGATAAAAAGGATCTTACACTCGTTTTCATTTCATGTTAGATTTATGAAACTCGTCGCGCATTTTTCGCCAGAAGCTCGCTAAATTAAAAATTCTTCGACTCATTTCATAAATTTCATATGAAATGGAAACTCATGTAAGAACCTATATATATATGAACCAAAACACAAACTAGTACCAAAGAGATTTCATTCACAGATGTAAAATCAGTAACTATGGCAACAACACTTTGAAATAAACATCTGAGTGTCAGATTTAAACTTTACTGTCACCAGTGTCTACCTTGCAGAGTATATTGTTATACAGCCTGATCTAAAAAACCTAATGGCTGATGTCCTTTTGCAGTGCCTGCCTCACGCAGCGAGTTCCACCGGATACAACAACAGTTGGAGAATGAAAAGTTCCCGCCATTTGCCCCTGGAGGGGAACCCCGGGCATTTCACCAGCTCAACCGTGAGGAGCAGGCAACCATAGAGAAAAAACGATTGGCTGGTAGGTGGATGTGGGCAACAGATTAGAATAAATACATTAATTGATAAGGTTATGGTAAATGTCAAATCAGGACCTAAACAGTTTGATTCAGATTGAAAACAGTAGATTTTTTTTATTTTTAACCATTGTTTAGTATCAAGAGAAAAAATTGGATAATTTATTTATTTATCTTTCAAATTTTGATTTCACTCATTCAACCCTAAAATTTCATAATGGACTATTCCATCCTTTGAACTGGAAGAGTTCAAATGTGTCTTCAGGGGTGAATGAGTTAAGGATCCCCCGTAACACTGCAAATGTGCACTGAAAACATTTTCCCCAACATCATTACAGGTTTGATAAATAATTTCAGAAAAAAAATCATATCCTTGAAGAAATCTTACGAACAAATTTGTTGGTTTTTCTCCGGGAACTCCGGCTTTCCTCCACCATAGCTGTTAATAGGACATAAATCACAAACAAACCAAACCAAACTGTATGTATGAAAAACTACAGTGGAATTCTCTGACGTTTTGCCTGCTGTGATACAGGGATCCTTAATTTATAAATCTGTCATATAAAATAAGTGAATACAATGTGGGTAGGTTTAAGTTAATGAAACGCTTTTGTTTGTAGACTACTGTAAAAAGGCCTATAAAAAGGTCCATTCTACGAAGATGGAGGAGAGAACCGCCACAATTTGTCAGAGAGAAAACTCTTTTTACGTCGACACTGTCAGGGATTTCCGAGACAGACGTTATGAATTTAAAGGGCTTGTGAAGGTGTGGAAGAGGAAATTAGCAGAGGCTGAGGAATTGAAAGATGCAGCTGAAATAAAACGTGCCAACGGTATGGTGGTCCTTTACGACTCGCTCCAACTCGCCCACAAGTGTATTCTGAACTCTTTCTACGGTTATGTGATGAGAAAAGGGTGAGTATTTACTGAAAAGTTTGCTTCTAGATGACTTCTGGTTTTATAGCCCGTTTCTTCTTTTACAGGACTTTTCTTAATTTGGGAAGGAACTTTGGAAAATTGCAAAATTTAATTTAAGAAAAACCAACATCATATCGGCAATCGATTTGATGACATCCTGATATCAAATTGGAGTTTACGGTATTCACTGTGATTAGCACCCATCCCCCTTTAAGCGCCCTTAGATGTGTGATTTAATCTATTTTCAAACATCACTATTTATGTTTATGAATCGTCACAACCAAATGCATGCTATTTCATGAAGGCATTAGAGTCATAATTTTTACGCTTGTCATATTATTCTGCGGATCATATAAAACAGAACAATTTTGGAATTATCCCTGGGGATATGTCTAACAGTTATCCTGACGCCTTGACAGCAACTGCCAACACTCAGGTTTTGTAATCTTGATAAGTGCCTCCTTCAGCCAATTTTCAAAGCACCTTGGATGCTAAATAAAAGAAGTGGAGGTGGGCTTATTACAGTACATGTGGTGTTACCATGGTTTCAGAGCTCGTTGGTACAGTATGGAGATGGCCGGAGTTGTGTGTTACACTGGGGCTCACATCATCACCAAAGCGAAGGAAATCGTCGAACAGATCGGGTAAAACTGATTTTTCACACAATAACATAAATACTGTAAAAGTCCTCATTTTAGTGTTGTCAAATTTTAACATATAAAAAACATGAACTAATTGGCACACTCAGGATATAATGATGCACTAGAAAACTAGGTCGAAATTTACCAAAAGTGCTAAAAAATAAAATTACCACTAAAATATGTATATTTACAGTACTGTAAAATAAAATTATTTTCCTGGGGTTAAAATTTCGTGGTTTTCATATACTAGCCTGTTTCAAGGACATTATATTTCGCTGATTTCTGATTTCCCCCGGTCTATATCATACCAAATTTATGTTTTCGTGGGGATATGATTTTGCGGATTTTTGTTATCCACAAAATAAACGAAATTTAATGTCCCACGAAAATTTATGATTTTACAGTATTACTGGTATTTATAAATGAAACATTAGTCTTCAATATAAACATGAAAGAAAGATGTTGATCTTATTAGAGAGCACAAAGAAGGTGTCAGAACAATCCTATTGACCAAAACCTTACTTCATTTCCTCAAATTGTGCAAATTTCATCCATTGTTCCCAGAAAAATTAACAATTTCACTTGAATGCAGGCGCCCTCTGGAGCTAGACACAGATGGTATTTGGTGTGTTTTACCCGCAACTTTCCCTGAAAACTATGTCCTCAAGACTACAAACCCGAAGAAAGCAAAAGTGACCGTCTCCTACCCAGGGGCAATGCTCAATATCATGGTCAAGGTCAGTGGTTATCAGGGTATAAATTGATTGTCTCCTACCCAGGGGCAATGCTCAAAATCATGGTAAATTGATTAAAAGGCCCTATTAAGCCCTTAAATTTAACAAAAATGTTTTAAATGGATGGAAACGAGCCTTGAATTAGACTAAATGATCATTAAATTATGATTGTATATTGATTTTGGTGGTTTGTTGTGTTATTATCATAACGATGAACTCAGAAACTCCTAGAAAATGAAATGTTTGTTATGACTTATTTTCTAGATTTTCGAACTAGCTAACTGATATTGAATTTTAAGGTTGTTAAATATTTATATGGTGAGATTTGAGACATCCCGGTTACACATCCAGATCTCAGTATTTTGAGAATTTGCGAATGGCGGGAGATTTTCAGCCTTAATTGGAACAAGCCCTTAAAATGCCCTTAAAATGCCCTAACAACAGACTCAAATTTCATTGTAAAATTCTTGTACGAACCCTGTACTGTGTTTGTGTTAATTAGGAATTCTTCACCAACGACCAGTATGAGGAGTTAGTAGACCCTAACAAGCTCCAGTACTCATTACGCAGTGAGAACTCCATCTTCTTCGAGGTGGACGGTCCATATCTCGCTATGATTCTCCCCGCGTCTAAGGAGGAAGGCAAAAAGCTCAAGAAGAGATACGCTGTCTTCAACTTTGATGGTTCTCTTGCTGAGCTAAAGGTAAGTTTTAAGTCAATGAGTTTTTTGTGGAAAAAACGTTTCCTTTGGATCAAAGTTTTGGTTTGTTTGTGTTTAACGTCCCATTAACAGCTATGGTCATTTAAAGAATTGCCAGGTTTTGATGGTGGCAACTGCCCCACGTAGGTCCTGAACCCGCGACCCAGTGGTGGAGGGCTAGGCTAGCCAGTAGAAGCAGAATGTCAGACGCCTTTACCACTCGGCCACCACAGCCTGTTGCCTTTAAGTTGAAGCTCTGGCTCTCTGAGCCTTGAGGCTTGCAAAGATTGATAGCGTCTATCATATGTAGGTAGGTGCAATATGGATATTTTACCCGAGGGTTCAGAACTGAGGATTTAACACCAAATTCTTTACCTGAGCTCAGGGTAGAATTTCCATATCCCACATAACGACATATTGGTCGACGTCTTTTCTTCCACCTCATTACCAAAATACCATGAACCATGCAAATGCAACACTATAGCAAAGGTTTATAGGAGGCTGCGATATGTTCGTGTTTGTCTTCTTGTGATAACGCAAATTAAGACCGTATTTGGAAAAAGCAGAAAAACATACCAAATTCATAGATCCATGTAATACCTTTAGGGCAAGCTTGTGCAATGACACTTATGTTCCTGAGGTGTTTAACTTGCCATGGCAAGATTTCGCCATCAAGCAACATTTGGACAGGATTTTGAATGTAATGTCGTAATGTTACTCTATCACTTGACTGTGAAATTGTCATCGTAAAGACCAGTGAGTGCACCAATGTGGAACACATGTATCCCATATTAACTTTTTTTTGGGATACACGTATTCCACATGAGAGTTTTGTATGACTTGTATCCCACATGAGCGCTCTGTGTGACACATATATCCCACATAAGAGAACCATGTGTGACACATGTATCCCACATGAGTGTTCTGTGCGACACACATATCCCACATGAGAGAACCATGTGTGTGACACACATATCCCACATGAGAGTTCTGTGTGACACACATATCCCACATTACAATATTGTGTGTGAGATGTAACCCACATGAGCATTCTGTGTGACACATATCTGACATGAGAGTTCTGTGTGACACATGTATCCCACATGAGAGTTATGTGTGACACACGTATCCAACATGAGAGAACCATGTGTGACACACATATCTGACATGAGAGAACTGTGTGTGACACACATATCCCACATGAGAGAACCGTGTGTGACACATGTATCCCACATGAGAGTTCTGTGTGACACACATATCCCACATGACAATTTTGTGTGTGAGATGTAACCCACATGAGCGCTCTGTGTGACACACATATCCCACATGAGAGAACTGTGTGTGACACATGTATCCCACATGAGTTTTGTGTGTGAGACGAAACACACATGAGCGTTCTGTGTGACACAAGTTTTCAACATAAGAGTTGTGTGACACACCTATCTGACATGAGCGTTCTGTGTGACACACCTATCTGACATGAGAGTTCTGTGTGACACACCTATCTGACATGAGAGTTCTGTGTGACACACGTATCCAACATAAGAGTTCTGTGTGACACACGTAATTTATATACATATTATGGGAGAAATGTTTATTAACCATCAATTGTACTTTACAGGGATTTGAGGTAAAAAGGAACGGTGAGTTGGAGCTGATCAAGATCTTCCAGTCGTCAGTGTTTGAGGCGTTCCTGAAGGGTGATACACTGGAGGAGTGTTACGCAGCAGTCGCCAAGGTGGCCGACTACTGGCTAGACGTCCTCTTCAGCAAGGTAAGGTTGCTGTGAAAAGTCTTAAAAATGTTTTCATTTCTGTACATGATAGAAAAAAACTAACGTTGTAATCAGGGCTGAAAAGGTATTCACATTTAATTTGGTTTCATAGTTTTGTGATCTTATACCATTTTGCTCTCGTTACCTACATTTACCAGAACAGGAGTGTACATTTCTGCTTGCTCCGTACTGGGGCTAGTAGATTTCATGTTTGGCCTAGTGGAAATTTTAATAATTTACTTTGAAAATATAGTTGAGGCAAGTAAATATTTTACAATAGCTGCTGTGGACTATTACTCAAAACATGACATTTCATTTTTTTTTCCATTTCAACAGGTTTTATTGACTTTATATATGTCAATTGGATTGGACATCAGGCTATGCCCGTTTAAGTCCTTTCCGAACTTATTTACAAACATTACATATATTCTGTCATAACTATCCAATTAATTTTGTAGGGGAGATAACTCCAATTAAGCTTGTGAAATGAATATTTTACAATTTTTATTTAATCATTTTCAGTATGTTTTAGATATTAACAATTGAATAAATCATGTATATTTTCTGACAACCCATCCTACATAAAATCCAAGGGATACAGGCCCATGACATAATATGTATACAGCCCTGCGAGAAACTCATACAATGATAATAACAAAAAATCACTCAAGCCACTCTTTGGCTCAATGGTGAAATTCTCACAAGATTTGAGTACGATAGCAACATAAATATTGAAATCTATGAATATTGAAATCAATATAAACCAAAATTGTATATACATGGATTCACTATGATAACCTGTAGACAAGGAACTCAAACATGTGTCATTTTTAAGATATTTCTCAAAATTCACAAACTGTAAATGTACTGATTTTAGAAAAATCTTCAGTCTTTCCTCTGGTTATTTTCTACAGATAGCATTGAGTCGCCATACCAGTGTTAGATACAATAGTACAACAAACTTGTTTCGTGTTCACAAGAGGATTCATTTCATTCGTGATTACTTGTTTTAACGTAAAAAATAATATTTTGAACAGGCTGCCAATATGCCAGACTCTGAACTCTTTGAGTTGATCGCCGAAAAAAAGAGAATGTCTAGAACTCTGGAGGATTATGGTTCCCAGAAGTCCATGTCCATCAGCACAGCGAGGCGATTGGCCGAGGTAAGGGTTCCAACTGCATGTCTGCTTCTTTTTATAGAGTAAGAGATGAATAAGTTCGTAGCAAGGGGTTTCAAAACGATTTCAAGTTGCATGTAGCACACACAAGTTTTTGTACATTTCATAGAATCCCATTATCATTCTTCTAATATTTTCATGAAATGAATAAGTTTGTAGCAAGGGGTTTCAAAATGATTTCAAGTTGCATGTAGCATACACAAGTTTTTGTACATTTCATAGAATCCCATTATCATTCTTCTAATATTTTCTTCATGAAATGAATAAGTTTGTAGCTAAGGGTTTCAAAATGATTTCAAGTTGCATGTAGCACACACAAGTTTTTGTACATTTCATAGAATCCCATTATCATTCTTCTAATATTTTCATGAAATGAATAAGTTTGTAGCTAAGGGTTTCAAAATGATTTCAAGTTGCATGTAGCACACAAGTTTTTGTACATTTCATAGAACCCCATTATCAGTCTTCTAATGTTTTCATGAAATGAATAAGTTTGTAGCTAAGGGTTTCAAAATGGTTTCAAAATGGTTTCAAGTTGCATGTAGCACACACAAGTTTTTGTATATTTCATAGAACCCCATTATCATTCTTCTAATGTTTTCATGGAAGCAGCTGGTGAATCGACTGGCTACAAGTGAAACCTCAGTTGTATCATGGTTGAGATTCCCTTTTCCTTCAACTCATTCAACCCCATACACATTTAAACTGGACTTGATGAGTCCATTATGGTCTACAGTTGGTGAAAGGATTAGGGGTGAAGGTATTGGACGTAAGAGGAGAAAAAAACCATTGAAAGTAATGACTTCAATATTGTTAAGTAAATGCTGTAAAAATAAAATTTTAGCGTACAGGAAATTAAAGCGGATTATCAATTTTCCAGTTTCTCGGTGACCAGATGGTGAAGGATGCAGGTGTAAGTTGTAACTACGTCATCTCCAAGAAGCCAGACGGTGCCCCTGTTACTGAAAGGTACAATCTTGAAGCCTGCTTTACTAAACCTGTTGTGCACAGTTATCAAGTAACACTACTTTGTATAGATTGGTGATCAGTTTCGACAGGTAAACTACTTTGTACAGAGTGATGGTTGGTTTCAACAGGTAAACTAACTTGTACAGAGTGGTGGTCAATCTAGATAAGTTACACTGTGCAGAGTTGTGGTCAGTCTAGACAAGTAACACAGCAGAGTTGTGGTCAATCTAGACAAGTAACACTGCAGAGTTGTGGTCAATCTAGACAAGTAACACTGCAGAGTTGTGGTCAATCTAGACAAGTTACACTGTACAGAGTGGTGGTCAGTCTAGACAAGTTATACTGTACAGAGTTCTGGTCAATCTAGACAAGTTAAACTGTACAGAGTTGTGATCAGTCTTGACAAGTTATGCTGTACAGAGTTCTGGTCAATCTAGACAAGTTACATTGTACAGAGTGATGGTCAGTCTAGACAAGTAACACTGCAGAGTTGTGGTCAATCTAGACAAGTAACACTGCAGAGTTGTGGTCAATCTAGACAAGTAACACTGCAGAGTTGTGGTCATTCTAGACAAGTTACACTGTACAGAGTGGTGGTCAGTCTAGACAAGTTATACTGTACAGAGTTCTGGTCAATCTAGACAAGTTAAACTGTACAGAGTTGTGATCAGTCTTGACAAGTTATGCTGTACAGAGTTCTGGTCAATCTAGACAAGTTACATTGTACAGAGTGGTGGTCAGTCTAGACAAGTTACACTGTACAGAGTGGTGGTCAGTCTAGACAAGTTACACTGTACATAGTTGTGGTCAGTCTAGACAAGTTATACTGTACAGAGTGGTGGTCAGTCTAGACAAGTTACACTGTACAGAGTGGTGGTCAGTCTAGACAAGTTTCACTGTACAGAGTTGTGGTCAGTCTAGTCAAGTTACACTGTACAGAGTGGTGGTCAGTCTAGACAAGTTACACTTCAGAAGCACAGAGTAGTGGTCATTTTTGGCAGGTGACTCTGTATTGTGTATATATTTTGTCAAAGGACTGAAGCTGTATGATTTCTGTCACAGGGCTATACCACTGGCAATCTTTCAAGCAGAGCCAAGTGTACGGAAACATTACCTGAGAAAATGGCTGAAGTCTCCCGCAACCAATGAATTTGAAATTCGAGAGGTTAGTATACTTCATTATTGATTTACTTAAAACAAGAAAAACACACAATCATCAAAAAGACTCATGTAGAGTAAGTGAAATTGTAAAATTTTGAGTTTGGGGAGAAGAGGTGGTTAAAATTTCCTGTTGCAAAAATAACGAGTTTGACTCTAAAATGAGGACAAGAATCATCCAAGATTATTTTCGTTCTTATATCAAAACGGTTTGCACTCAGCAATATCGAACAATTCACAGGTATTCCTGAAATAACCAAAAACATTTGGCAAGAAAACATGTTTATAATGATTTGTTATTATTTCTGTTGTGATCAGATCCTTGACTGTTTATAATGATTTGTTATTATTTCTGTTGCTGTCAGATCCTTGACTGTTTATAATGATTTGTTATTATTTCTGTTATTGTCAGATCCTTGACTGTTTATAATGATTTGATATTATTTCTGTTGCTGTCAGATCCTTGACTGGGAGTACTACGTAGAAAGACTCGGTGGATCTGTTATGAAGATCATCACCATTCCAGCAGCATTACAATTGGTAAATAATGATACAGCAGCCATTTTTATGTCCCCAGCCATTTCATGTGGGGGCATTCAATGGGTGTAAAATGATAAAAATGAGCTGTTAATGGTGAGTTTTGACCAAATACCAAATATAGGAAGAGTAATCTAAGAAAATGTGTTTCATGTGAATCTCAGGTAAATGTTCTGGTCAGAATGCAGCTTTATGAAACAGTATATAATTGACTTGCAAAATGTTGCCCCATGTCGGTCCCATCCAGGCATGTCATGACTCTACCTATTTAATTTCTTTTTCATTTAATATCAAAGTTTTACTTTTAATAATCTACACAAACATTATATCTATTAAACCTGTTGTAACGTTTCAAGACCGACTGGTCCCTTTGTCAAGCTATCTAGCTTGACAAAGGGACCAGTCTGTCTTGAAACGTTGCGACTTGTTTACTACATACATTGTTTGTGTGGAAAGTAAAACTCTGATATTACATATTTCCAAACTGATGAATCTTGTTGAAGAGATTTTCGTTTAAGTCGAGTATGAGAATACCTCGTATAAGGGTCCTGAGTTCAAGGTCATTGTTACTGTTCAAGTCAACCACAGGGTCAAAGCAGCATCCATGTCTTACAGTTGTTTTACAGTCCAGATCAAAACCTCCTCAGAAATAGGAAATCCCAATTTTCATTTGTATTAAAACTACTTGTTTTGAAAAGGATTTTATACAATTACGTATCAATAGCAAGGTCACTGTTGATGTTAGGTCAGTCACAGGGTCAAAGCTGCTTTTATGTCTTACAGACAATTTCTAGTTCAGTTCAGAAATTGGAAATGCCAATTTCATTTTGTACTACAAGTACATGTTTTGAAAAGGATTTCATAAAAAATTTGTGTCAATATCAAAGTTTGCAATAGGCATTTTATAAATCGGGTCCTTTCCAGATCAAATGAAGTCTTTCTGCCTGGTTTGAAGGGGATTTCTAATTATTTTTTGTTGGAGTCCTTTCGAATTTCGATGCTTCAATAAAAGATGTGTTTCGGTATGATGAACCTTATCTCCTAAAGTGCATTATTTTTACTTGCTGACCTTTAACCTCTCAGGTAGCCAATCCAGTTCCTCGAATCCGCCACCCTGACTGGCTTCACAAGAAGTTACTGGAGCGTAATGATGTGTTCAAACAGAAAAAAATCAGCGAGATATTTGCACCCACTCAGCGACAGAAACTCCAGGTAAAACAACTAACAGTGAACCACTGGTAAAATAGTTAATGACCGACAAGCAGGAAGACCTACACAGAAATTCCTGAGTAAAACTATTCTCTATGAAGAGTTGGTAGACCGGTAGACATACAAAAGTTCAAGGGCCCGTATTCATGAAAACATTTTCATGCTCAAACTCAGATTCTGTGCTCGAAGCCAATTTCTTGTTCTGGGGATATATTAGCTCACCGAGTCCGAAGTACGTCAACAATTTCCTTAAACGACTTCTTTCTTCTTAATCACTGATTGGAATTTAACTAAATTTGTCTGGAAGCATCCCTAGGTGGTGGGGATTCAAAATTGTACAAATGATGGGGCTGACCCCCCAGGGGGCTGAGGGGCGGACCCAAAAGAGGGCAATTTGGCTATATTGCTTTAAGCAACTACTGTGGAACTAAGAGATGGACATCAGCCATATTTGACTGGAAGCATCCCTGGGTAGCGGGGATTCAAAATTGTACAAATGGTGGGGCTGACCCCCCAGGGGGCTGAGGGGCAGGGCTCAAAACTATAAATACAAATGCTGGGCAAAAAGAGACAAATGCAGTCATGCTATTAGAATTGATCCTGGGGTCTGGCCACAACCCTATGGACCTAGTTTCTGAGTCACAGCTTGGAAACAGGTGAGATCCCCACCCCATAACCATACATAAAATTGCTGGGCATGAAAAATCTAATACAGACATACTACAAGAATTGGCCTTGTTATACTTTAAATCCAATGAATGTCACACATTCTGTAGTCTAGACATTTTACTTAAAATCCTGTGAATGTAACACAATCTGTATTTATAGACATTTTACTTATAGTACTGTGAATATTTCACAATCTGTAGTCAGGACATTTAACTTCTAATCCTGGGAATGTCTCACAATCTGTAGTCTAGACGTTTAACTTATAATCCTGTAAATGTCACACATCTTAAGTTGATTTGTAATCATGATAAGTTTCCTTTGTTTCTGATATTCATGTCATTGTCATGGTAACTAGATATACTAGTTGTTTGGTTACAGGTGTCACACACTGCTGTACTGTAGTAGTTTGACTTTGTTGGTATACCCAAACACTGCCCACAGGACATCCTCCCTGTCTATACCTACAGCCACTGTTAAGTCTGTGTCTGTGTGTATGATCCTGAGGAACTCACCACCTCCACTGATGAGTAGGACCCTGTAGTTGTTACAGTCCCCTATAATCAGGTTCCCCACACTGTCATACACCACATCACAGGGGTAAAATGGTTTACCTCTTGTTTGTGGTGTTGGTCGATATGTACTGGGGATGTCACCTCTATATACAAACAGCTCCTTGAAATCAGTGTCCATCACAACAACATGTTGTTTTCCATCACCACCATCACGTTCAATATTGAAATCAGCGACTACCACATTGTGAGTGACAGGACACTCTGAGATCCTGTGTGGTGTACACACTAATGGTTTCCCAGTCCCTTTAGCCATAGTAGAACACACCATTTTACCAGCTGTGGTAAATTTGGAGATGTGTTTGGTCATCCCTACAATGACATGGTTACTGGCTGTAACACATATACACAAGGGATTCTCCTTGGTGCTGAATCTGTGTATCTTTCGTCCTGTAACCAGCTGCATGATGTTGTTTTTATTTTCACAGACCCACAGTGTGTGTGTGGTTGGTGACAGACTGATGTCATTGAAACAGACATTGTGTTCGACCACCTGTATTACTTTACCTTTCCTGTCCAGGAGAGTAAATGTGTCATAGCTCAGTGTCCATACCTGACCATCAGTGGTGGGACATATAGAATCAATGTCACATGGAGACTTCCACTCCTCCACTACCTTGGTCTGTGGCAATAGTTTGTATGTTGTCACTGCTTTCTTCACCTTTGCTCCTGACCGTTGTTGTTGTTGTGTAGAGGGCTGTCCTTGATCATCAGATGTTGAGACTGACCGATCCTGGTCAGTTAAAGTTTGATCTTGACCTGAGGTGGTAACTTTTCCCAAGGCTGTTTTCAAGTGATCTTGAGGATTTTCATTTGTAGTGAAGTTGGCAGTACCCAGGACAGGTTTTACAGGGAGACTGTGTGTAGGAGACTGGATCTCACAAAATGTATCATAAATCTGTATGTGTGAACCACGCTGGAGAGCTGCTTTACATTCTTGAATTTGTTGTTTGAGTTGCTTCTCATACATCTCCAGGTCCTGTTTGTATTTCTTTATCAGCTTGGTATTATCCTCTTCCATTTTGTAATAAAGAGAGAGTGTCTGTGCTGTAAGCATGTCCAGCTCTTGTTTTAATTGATCTGTTTGCAGTTTTATTTTTTGTGACAGCTTCTCAAAAGTACTGGTGTTGTCTTTAAGGAGCGTATCAGTAGAGTTGATGTATTTTCCAATTTGCACAAGGTCATTTTTTTCTGTTCTGTCTATAAAGTTTTTAATGTCTGGTTCTTTCTGAGGACTGATTTCACTGAGCTCACAAACTGGATGGGTTTTGTGAATAGAAGAAAGGCATTTTAGACAAACCAGTTCCTGGCATTTTTCACAATACAAGTCTAGCTGTCTGCCCCTGTGGTGAATACATGTCGTTTGACCTTTAATACGGAGAGGAATTTGGCTTATAGGGGTTGCCATTTTGATGAAAAGCTAAATTCTTTGTTGAAATCCTGAAGATGTTGATGTTGTTTTTGTATAAATATTGTTATCAGTAATATAAACACTCACAAATAAGAGTTTGTCATGTAAAGAAATGAAAACTGGACTTGACTGTCCCATCCAGTAGTATATGTTTGTTAAACTTATAGTAATGTAAAAACGCTATTGAATAACCACCTCACGATCACTGATGTCACAGGGTTACTGTGATGATGAATCCAGGTTTACCGTTCCACACTTCAGAAGGTTCACTTACATTGTCTATAGTTATCCAGCCCTGGGATTCACAATCACATGATGACTTTCCCTCTAGCTTTGCTGAAAAATCTGTAACCTTCCTGCGAACATTGTAAAAGTTTGATCAAAACTAAAAGTCAAATGTTCGGCTGAATTTGACAATGCTGCTGACTAGTTAGTAATATCAACAAATTTCTGCTCTGGCTACGGCCATCACTGCGGCAATGCGTAGATCTACCTGTTTAGACCTGCAGTTGTACATAGTAAATAACTTCCCTGTTGTGCATAGTTAATAACTTCCCTGTGGAGTGACAGGAAACCGACAGACTTACACTGCTAATTGAGACATAGATAGTGAAGTAGGTCAGTGTAGATTGTGTTTAACCCTTTGCCACATACAAGCCTATACAAAACAGCACTGTACATCAACGAAGGAAATGTACAGTGTTTGTTGTGATCATTGTTACAGCCTCTACCATTTGAGTGCAGCATCTCAATGCCACTTATTGTAGAATTTTGCAGTGATGGAGCGTTCTGTTTTAAATTTATTTTTTAAAGCTGATCTGTTTACTTTTGACAAGATTACTTTGGTGTTTTTTTATAGAATTAATCAAAGTTTTCTTTGGTGCATTTTTCACGAAAAATTTGACAAAAATTGAAACTTCAAAAATCAAATTTAAAAGTTGCATGCTTAAAATATTTCTGTTGTTTTCATTATTTATTTCACTTAATTACCCACAAAAAGTCCTTGGCAGTCAATTGTTCACAAATACACACCACAAACCAAAAATAGGAGTTTTATTTCCGGTTCTTGTTGATGTAAAATCCCGTTTTATATACCCTCCTACACTGTTGGATTTACTTCCTTGCCCCATAAATGTAACTTTTTATTTAATAATTACTGTATTCTATTCTGAAGATTTTTAGCCGTTCTTATTTCAATGTAAGAAAGTATATAACACTACCAGTATATGGCATTCTACGGGCGGTACTCATGTTTAGCTCACCTGGTCTGAAGGTGAGCTTATGCCATACCGGTGTCTGTCCGACAACTTTTACTTAAAAACGCTACTAGTCCTGAACAGCTAAGTACATTTTGACTATATTTGGTCTGAAGCATCCTTAGGCCAGGGAGATTCAATTTTGTATAAACGGTGGGTGTGGCCCCCCTGGGGGCAGAGGGGTGGTGCCAAACAATGGAAAAAGAGGTAAAACCTTTAAAATCCTTCTTCTACCGTAAGGATTAAGGGATTTTATTAGCTTACCTGGTCCTAAGGACTATGGTGAGCATATGTCAAGGGGACTTATTTTTGTATAAACGGTGGGTGTGGACCCCCTGGGGGCAGAGGGCGGGGCCCAATAGGGAAAATATAGCAAAGTCTTTAAAATCCTTCTTCTTCTGTAGGAATGAAAGGATATGTTCCATATTTGGTCACAAGCATCCTTGAGGGAAGGGGAACCAATTTTGTATAAACCGTGGGTTTGAGGGGCCCAATAGGGGAAATATAGCAAATTCTTTAAAATCCTTCTTATTCTGTAGGAATGAAAGGATTTGTTCCATATATGGTTTGGAGCATCCTTGGGTGAAGGGGAACCAATTCTGTATAAACCGTGGGTCTAACCCCCTGCCTCTCTGCCTCCATGGGGAGGGGGGGGGGGGGGGGGNGGGGGGTAGACACACCCAATAGCGGAAATAGAGGTAAAACCTTTAAAATCCTTCTTCTACCATAGAGATTAAGGGATTTTATCTTAAGTTAGTCTCGAGTATCTTTCGGCCAAGGGGACACAATTTTGTATAAATGGTGGGTGTGGCTCGGGTGTGGCCCCCCTGGGGGCATAGGGTCGGGGCCAAACAATGGAAATAGAAGTAAAACCTTTTAAATCCTTCTTCTACCGTAGGGATTAAAGGATTTTATCCTTATTCAGCCTGGAGCAAACTTGGGCAAAGGGGACTTAATTTTGTATTAACGGTGGGTGTGGCCCCCTTTTGGGCAGAGTGGCAGGGCCGAATAGGGGAAATAGAGGGGAAACCTTTTAAATCCTTCTACCATAGAGATTAAAGTATTTTATCCTAATTTAGTCTGGAGCATCCTTGCATCTTGGTATTGGTATGCCCCCCCCTGTGGGCAGAGAGGCAGGTCCAAATAAGGGATATTGAGGAAAAGCTTTCATATTTTGACAAAATTTGAACAGTAGCATCCTATAGGGAGGGAAATCAATTTTGTGTAAATGGTGTGTTTGACCCCCCCTGGGGCCTGAGAGGTAGGGCCAAATAGAGGTAATTTAGTAAATTCTTGAAAATTCTTCTTCTGTAGGAATAACAGGATTTTGTTCATATTTGGTCTAAAGCATCATTGGGTAAAGGCAACAGGATTTTGTATCAAAGGTGGGTCTGACCCCCCTTGGGGCAGAGGGGCGGGGCCCAATAGGGGAAACATGGCAAATTCTTCAAAATCCTTCTTTTCCTGTAGGAATGACAGGATTTTGTTCAATTGCATGTAAATATAACCCCTGGCTAACCATGTAATACATGTACACTACCAGCAACACCTAGCTATTCCAACTTCAATTTTACTAACATTTCCAGGTGAGCGATACAGGCCATCTGGGCTGGGCCTCTTGTTCAAATTTCACAAGGAAGTTGGTATGTATTTTAATTTACCACACAATGAACCATTTCCTTAGCCTCTCTTAAAATTCTGTGTTTGTTAGCAATCTTCTGAGGAACTGTTTCCTGACAGTGAACAGCAGAGGTCAACGGTAGACATTGAGGATATCGGGGGTCGGTCTCGAGGCAAAACTGGATTGGGGATGGCCATAGCTCACAAACGGAAACGAACAAGCCTGGACAACACCGACACCAGTCAGAACGAGTCTCAGTTACTGGAGAGCTCGCAAACGTGGCGGGAAATGCTGGGACCGGCGCCACCTATGGGTAAAACAAAGGTTAGTTATGTTGTTTTAATTAGACTTTTTTTTTTATGTGCCCTCCTATTCACTACAGTAATTAATTTAAATAACCGATAATTAGGTTGTTAAGTGGATAATACTTTTCACTTTTCAACAGCAACGCATAACGTTTTTCTTGTATAATTAACAACCTAAGGATCCACTAACCAATGACCCTCCCCCAACCAGAGATTCGTTTTAAAATTACTTTAACAATTATCGGTTTTCCAATGATCTACACCCCCCAGTGATCTGTTCTCTTATACTGTATACTGGGAAACTTGTATCCAATCAAATTTTTCATCCTGCTCAGGTAGAATTCATTTTCGCCAAGTTCTAGTTTCGTCCTTCCATATTTGTTTACTATATTTGTCATATCACTTACTACTTACTGTTCGCTGTAATGATATTTTCCCTCCTCATTACAGAGGGCACAAAATGCTAAATTCATTTCAGTAATAATTACCATAACTCAGTGGCTCTGTCGTCGAGTTATTGGTCACGTGACGGTAGGGAGGTCAGGATATTTGAATCATTTGTTTTTGGGCTACAAAGAGGAGTGTAGGTATTGTTTATGCATGCTAAAGTTATGGCAAGTATTACATCATGAAAGTTAGTTTTACATAAAATCCTCAAAATTAAACTGTGGCAAATTTTTTCCCCAGTACACAGTAATCAAAGGCTCATTTACCGATGATAGATGATAAATTTCCTATCTACTCCCCAACTCCATTCTCCAGTAATCCTCTGATTATCTGCTTAAACTACCACTAACAGGAGGAGCGTGCAGTCTGGCTGGAGTACCACAAGAAGAAATGGGAGCTTCAGGCGAAGGACCGACAGGATCGGAAACGGCGCAGGGTCGACTTTGGTGATGCTCCCTCGGGCCGAGCGGTCAGTAGCCGGACTGGACTTGGAGGATTCCTGCGCCGGACGGCTCGCAGTATCATGGACATGCCTTGGCAGATAGTACAGGTACAGAGAATCACGTTTGTTTGGGGGTGGAAGGGAGAAATGGAGAGAGTGGAAAACAATCGTTCAGACCATTTCATCCATCAATTCAAAATGGAAAGAAGTGGAATACAGTCAAATCTTGATGTTATGTGACAGAACACAAGACAAGAAATTTAACTTGATATCTATAAATATTGGATTTAATATAATTCGAAAAAATATGTTTGACATATTCATGCAATATATTTTGCATGTGGACCCCAGGACATTTGAATGTTCTCATACAAGTAATTGTTTTACTTCGATAAATTAGTTGGTTTTCAATGTTATATAAAGAAAATAATCTGGACTTTGCCATAAGTCGACCCATCCAGATATTCCAATCTTATGAAACAGTTTGTGAAATATGGATTTCCTCACTTTTCATGCACTATTGAATTTGAAATTGCCCAACTGTACACTATATTAGTTTAACAAAACGGATGTTTTTGTCGCAGAATTCAAATTTTAAAAAAAAATCAAACTTAATAGCAGATTAATTCCTCTTTACCTTAGCTCTCTGCCAATGATCATCAGACCAGAAATCGGTGAAATTAACCCTGTTTTGCAAATCCGCAAAATTTAGGGACCAAACAGTTAAAAAGACTTATAGTATATATTTCCACCGCTGCATATACCTGTAAAAGATAACATGTGGTATAATGCTTGCATGTCTACTAAAACAATTACTTGTTTTAGCTGATGGAGACAAGCTACCCCGGTCAATACAAGCTGTGGGCTCTCATCGGGAGTGACCTCCATGCCATGAAACTCAACGTACCTCGCATCTTCTACGTCAACCAGAAATCACCGAAGGAGGGCGAGGGAGCATGTAAGTAGAGGTCAGGGTTCACAAGGTCGAATGTTCTCTGATTTTATAATTGGCACTGTAAAATTAGAGGTGCACAATTTTGTATTTAGAGTACAGCCTGCAGCCTTCAGTGCAGAAAGATTTTCACTAGCTTCCTAAAACCAGCTAGTCCTGGGTGTGTGGAATTGTCCACCCCTGAAAGCTTTGGTGTAGTACAGGTCAGATATCATAGATCAAGGGTCAGAATACTTATATTTGTTAGATTGATAAAGTCAAAGGTCATAGGTGTCGATAAAGTCAAAGGTCATAGGTGTCGATAAAGTCAAAGGTCATAGGTGTTGATAAAGTCAAAGGTCACAGGTGTCAACCTCTAAAACCTCCAACGAGGGAGAAAGTGCATGAAATGTGACTGAAACTGCTTTGCTCAATTTATCTTTCCCTTTTTAAGCATCAAAATAAAAAGCATTCATTTGATTCAGACACACCTGTTATGATCATTTCACCCACCCTGCAGTAACTAGGAGATAATTTTACCACAGGATGTAGATTTTGAGTTTGTGTCAGTTTGGACTTGAATTAGGGAGTTTCGAAGGAGATTGGTAAATTTTGGCAAGTCTTCCTCTAGTCCGAATTATTCTGACGTTTTATCGACTTTTTTTATATCGGTCTATCTTTGATTAACGTCAGAACTCCAGCCCTCTATAATATGCGGGAAATAAGCGACCCGCGCCCGGGTCACACTTCAAACTGATATTTTAGAAACAAATCGTCACTTTCACACACATGTTGTACATGGATCGAAATATCTATTCTTTATGCACAAGATGAACATAAATTACATACCTCAAACAACCAATACAATCACTAAAAACATATTTTTTCAAAATTACTCTGTTTTACTCGAGTTTTTTAGGTCACCTGAGCTTCAGCTCAAGTGACCTATTGCTATCCATCTTCATCCGTCGTCCGTCATCCGTTAACATTTTACATTTTCAACTTCAGCTGAAATACTGGCAAAGGGATTTCATTAACATTTCATGGAAAGGTTACTGACATCTCCCTGACCAAGTGTTGTTATTTTTCGGGTCAATCAAAAATCCAATATGGCCGCCACGGCCGCCATTTTGAAAAACTATTTCAAACTTAAAGTCAAGTTCTACTGGGCCGATTGAACTGAAACTTTGTAGGAATGATCGACTCATGGTCCTGACAAAGCGTTGTTATTTTTCGGGTCGATCAGAAATCCAATATGGCCGACACAGCCGCCATTTTGAAAAAACTATTTCAAACTTAGAAACAAGTTCTAATGGGCCGATTTAACTGAAACTCGGTCTAGGAACGATCAGTTCATGGTCCTGACAAACTTAAGTTAAGGTTATACTTAACTGTTTTGTACCCAAATTGGTACATATTTCAACAACAAAAATAAATACTGTAGGACTATAGCCCCGCCTTCTAATGCCACGTGACTAAAATCTCGCCGGCCTACGTCATAACGTTGGGAAATACCTTCGGTAAGGTGAGGTCAAGTCATGGGACATTGCTCATGCCCTAATTTCCATTAAAAACATGGGTTGGTATAGAAAATACTTTTCGTAATGATCTATATCTTTGAAACATGTTATTGATACCACCTAGTGCATAAAGAATAGATCCTTCGATCCATGTGCGACATGTGTGTGAAAGTGACGATTTGTTTCTAAAATATCAGTTTGAAGTGCGACCGGGCGCGGGTCACTTATTTCCCGCATATTATAGAGGGCCGGAGTTCTGACGTTAAACGACGACAGACTGATATAAAAAAAAAGTCGATAAAACATCAGAATAATTCGAACTAGTCTTCCTCCTAATGAGGTAGGGTTGTTTCAAGGGAGATTGGTAAATTTTGGTAAGTCTCCCTCCTAATGAGGGAGGGCTAACAGTTGTCACAGGTTGAGTTTAATTAGTAAATACACGAACATGCTCTAACAGATATATAAGAATATATCTCTATGGGTTATCTCCATAGCAATAATGAAGCTGAAAGTAATGCCTGTTCAGGTATTAACCCAGATAAACAACAAGCCCCAGTTACTTAAAGGTTGGTTAGAGTAAACCAGTAGTTATAATAAATATAAATACAACAGAATCAAAAACATCTAATACCATTTCACTGCTATAGATTTTAGAGAAATAAGATTGATGTGGTTTGCTTTTAAAACCTATATTTATTTATTGGTAGCAATTCTTATTTTTCACTAACCACTGGTTAAAGTTGACCAATCTTTGGGCTACCGGGCCAGATGTATTTGTACAAAAGGTCGAAGGTCAGGGTTCATTTACTGTTCAAAGGTCAGGTAAATAAAATGTAGGACTCCCGTGTTTCAGTGTGGAAGAAGGTGATTAAGACGTTACCACGGTCCCACCCTGTGTTCAACCTTTACGAGTACAACGTACCGGAGGACGTCTACCAGGAGCATATCAAGTATGACAATCTCCCACATATTGAGTTCTGAAATAACTACAGGTCATTGTCACGAAACTTCTTCAGAGATTTAATCAAAACCGAGTTCTTTTAAGCGGAAATTAATACTGTATACCAGGAAACTTTCGCCCTTCATGGGTAAAATCCATATTATCCCAGTGTTATTTTTGGCTTTCACATGTAATGTCTATGTATAGTATGGTGTGTATAAATATTAGCTGTCATTATAAATTCACCCTAATTAAAGAAGGCAAAAACGGCAAAGTGAAACTTTGGCAAAAAAATCCCCATTATACAGTAACATTTTACTTTTTTTTTGATTATTGTAACAAATTTTTTACACAAAATTGAACCTTTTTTTTTCGTAGAATCATTCATCCTGTCTTCGTAAAGAACAACATATTCCTGCCAAGACCTCCACTTTTAATGTACATCGTAGTGATATCTTTGTGATCTTAACCTGTATTACAGCTGACGGTGCAAGTTGACTCATTCACCCCCAAAATTTGATAATGAACTATTCCAACCTTTGAATTGGAAGAGTTCAAATGTGTTTTCAGGGGTGAATGAGTTAAAAAAAAGGTTTCTCTTAATACAGGTTTGATTGTAATTACCTTGAATTAAATCAAAACTTGTCCTTCCCTAGTGAGATCAGTGCTGACTTATCATCCCCCGACATTGAGGGTGTGTACGAGACACAAGTTCCTTTGGAGTTCCGTGCACTTGTCCGGGTGGGATGTGTCGCCACCGTCAACCGTGACTTCGCCAAGTACATGTCTGGCAGGGTAAGTGAAATAAAGGTCACACTTACACTTTTGACAGGTTTTCCCCGGCATTAGGTTTTCATATTTCTTCACAACAGGTGAAGTCATATTACGATCGTGTGACTGTCCTGTAATGATAGAATGTGTAGGAAAGACTACGGTCATGTTTGTGTCTCCTGATTGAAACGGTTCAGGTGGCACAGAAATATCCCACGATAAACAAACGAGTTTCAGAGTTTTATGACAAATAAATTTATATCAAAAATATGTCCTTCTTTCATGCATCCACTAAATTATTTAATGTATCATAAAATGTACATGTGAATCAACCTTACTTTATAAGGAAATAATAAAAACTAACAATATTCAGCATTTTAGTTTTGGTCAGGCACGTCTGGACCCCTCGATATGCATGTGCTGAGTATTCCTGAGGTCGGCCTCGGTTCAGATCTGAGTGTGTTGTTTACATTTCAGGTTCAGCTGGTTGAAACAGTTGACCGAAAACACAAAAGGGGTCTACCTTGTTAAGCAGAAGCTTTCAAATGTAGATTCAGTAGCGCATAGGCCTGTACCCTTTCACCCCTATGTAACTTTACTAAACCCTACCATGTATTGATCTGGATGAATCCATTATAGTTTACAGTGGTGAAAGGGTTAAATTGGGTTCCAGAAGGGACACATGTAAACTATGATGAAATTTTAAGAAAATCAAACTAATGGAGGGCAAGAATCAACTGGAAGTTGACTATTGTACCTGTTGTCCTTGGTTACAGGAGACCGACACGTTTGACATGGAGAACCTTGACTTTCGGACACTGGCCCAGTTTACTTACTTGGAGCCTGGCGCCATTAAACACCTGTACCTGTACCATCACATCTGGTAAGTTACTATAGCAACCTGTGTTTCTATCACCTTTTCTATTACGTAACTATGGTAACCCATCCTCGATACTCCAGGGGTTACCCTCACTTTCGCTCTCTGCCGCCGCCCGCCCCCCCCCCCCCCCCCNTTTTCACACAGCAATGTTTTCATCCGCGCGATAATGGCTTGAAATTTACAATCTGCATTATAAATTTTATTTTTACAAAGGGATGCAGAAAAGTACAATTACTACTCCGAAACATTCAAATTTCAAAAGATTTGGTGTGTTTGCCTGTACCGCCAAGACTCAAATGACATGCACCATTCCAACTCTTGACACGCGAGTAAGACATGCACCATTCCAACTCTTGACACTCGAGTAAGACATGCACCATTCTAACTCTTGACACGCGAGTAAGACATGCACCATTCTAACTCTTGACACGCGAGTAAGACATGCACCATTCCATCTCTTGACACGCGAGTAAGACATGCACCACTCTAACTCTTGACACGCGAGTAAGACATGCACCATTCCAACTCTTGACACTCGAGTAAGACATGCACCATTCCATCTCTTGACACGCGAGCAAGACATGCACCACTCTAACTCTTGACACGCGAGTAAGGCATGCACCATTCCAACTCTTGACACGCGAGTAAAACATGCCCCATTCCAACTCTTGACACGCGAGTAAGACATGCACCATTCTAACTCTTGACACGCGAGTAAGACATGCACCATTCCAACTCTTGACACGCGAGTAAAACATGCACCATGTGCAGTCTTGTGATCCTCACTTTCTATTAAATAATCTGAACTAACTTGTCCTACATACTGAACACCCGTGATACTACAATATTTCTTAACATCCGTGTCACATGACTGTGATAAATTTATTTATATTTTATGTATTATACCTGTAGCGGGACCAATTTCATATTTATAAACATCAGAGTCACATGACTGTGATAATTTATTTATATATTCTGTATTGTACCTGTAGCGGGACCAATTTCATATTCATAAACATCAGAGTCACATGACTGTGATAATTTATTTATATTTTATGTATTATACCTGTAGCGGGACCAATTTCATATTTATTAACATCAGAGTCACATGACTGTGATAATTTATTTATATATTCTGTATTGTACCTGTAGCGGGACCAAGTCTATATTTGGGCTGTTTTTCCCAATGTCCAAGAAGGCCACAGTTTTTGTAGTGGACACTGTCCGAAGTGACCAGATGCCCAACCTCTCGGCTCTCTACAACGGAGAGCGCAATGGAAAGTAAGTACCCAATAAACAAAGTTGAACTAATATTACTGCGATGTGTGTTTCAGGTATCCCGACCTACCCTAGATTTTACTGCCGACCCTAGATATTTATTTTATCACCTTGTATCTAAGATTAATTTATCAGCCGTGCCAAGTTCACAGTCACTCATTAAAATGTACTTTCTTCCTGTTCTGGGAGTCTGACCTTATTCTTGACAAATTAATAGCCATTGTAATGTGTGGAAATGCACTGTAAAATTTAAAATAAAGCATGATATCAACTCACGAAAAATTCAAAATTAACATTCGTTTTAAGCAGAAATAAGACTTATCTCCCCTTGATCATCACTTAAACACTACAACTTCACTTCACCAACCACTGTTATTCCTTTATTTCAAATTATAATGTAATACCACATGGTTCAGATTTAATTGCATATGACCTGGAACGTTTTTGATTTTTGGGCATACCAGACCTGCAACATAAATGATTTCATTTTGACCTTCATGGATGAAGAGTATGATACAGATCATCCATGCCTTCCCAATAGTTTATTAGCTCACCCCTGGTCCGAACTTCTTCTGAAAATGCCAAAATGCAAAGGATGGTGATATTCAACCTGTAGTATGTTCAGATGAAGAGCTATCAAATTTGATTTGTTCATGTGAATGACCTTGACACACCTTCAAGATCACATCTGGTCAATTGTGTATAAATCTTCAAACGTTTGTACAACTTAATGCTCTTGTTTGACTTTCAAGGCCGCAGGAGCCAAATGTGTTTAAATCATTGAACAGGTTCTTTTGAATGACTTTGAGTCGAGATACTGATATTTTGCCTGTAGATTTATTTTACTCTTCTTTTAAGATTACAATTGTGGGATTAATACCAGGTTGGCGATACAGGCCCATTTGGCCACTTGTTACGAAATAGTTGTACCAAACAATCAGCTACAGTGTATATAAAGATATGAACACTGGACCTCCAATCGTGATACACGTAACAAACTCTCTTGGACAGACTTGACTGTATGTAAGAAAATGAGAAATCAATTGTCATTTTTTTTTATATACATTACCTACCTACACTCTTAGTAGTCGGGTGGCGCAGCAGATAACCCACTCGCCTTTCACCAAGACGGCCGGGGTGTGATTCCCTGTTCCGACGTGAAAAGGTCTGGGGCCACCTGCCCGACCATGTGGGTTTTCTCCGGGTACTCTGGTCTCCTCCCACATTAAGACCCCCTGCCGCTGAGATCCGGGCCAGCAAGCAGAGTTATTCATACAAGTTGAAATAACTGGTTTCATAATACATGTAAAATAAATTTCATTTCAGTAATAATTACCATAACTTTAGTATGCATATACAATACCTACACCCATCTTTGTAGCCCAAAAACAAAAGATTCAAATATCCCTACCTCCCTACCGTGACGTAACCTCTATCTCGATGACAGAGCCACGGAGTGATCTCCCTTCCTCTTCCTTTTATGGCGCCTGCTGCATGCTGACGCACGGAGCTTGCTCCAATTCAAAACATTGTTTTGTCGGTTTGGTTTGAGTGTCAACTCATATTTTTGCGCAGTTTGTGTGCCTTATACCCATCTGCCTTTATTGATATAACTAATTGTTGTTGAAAATTATTTTTGTGCCTTTTACGGCCGGTTATTTTACTCCACGTGTGCCGGTGGTGTGCCACGGTCCGCCATTATCGTGGGTTAATTTCCGACCTCTGTTTATTTCGGTGACGGTTGTTTGTTTCGGCAAACGTTATTTATTTTAACCGTTTTCTGATTTATATTACGGGTGAAATTCTTTCTACGTTGCGTACTTTGTACTATCGTATTTTA